TTTTTTTGCTGAAGGCATAATGAGTTGGGCAGTTCTTCTTACAAAAGCATTCTGCATGATGTTAACCGTTTTGAGATAGCCTTAGCGCATGTAAGAGCAACAGTACCTCGTTCTCAATGTCGCCATCCTTGTGCATATATCGCAAAAACGAATCAGTAGCACTGCTACATGCTTGTGGTGCGCACCAGGATGGCAGACAGTTGATGATTTTTCCTCATTTCGTTGTGAATTTCTATTGTAGCCTGATTTAGCTGTTTTTTTTTAAGGTGTTGATCTTCCGGCAGATGTGGATTTGGCTTGCCGAAGCTGAAATGCAACTTGGACTAAAGCAGGTGAATAACAGACTACTCCATTATTAATGAACATTTCTGGGTGATAAGTAATTGCTGCTTTAAGTGTTATCAGTTCGCGCCTGCTTATCCCCAGTTTGGTTTTGGGAGATCCAAACGAAAAGGCAAGGAGTTGCGGATGGTTGGCAAAAGATTTTTGATAGAAGCAAGGTGATCCTTTGTCACTGCGAGGAATCTCTTTTTGGAATTATCTCTAAAAATGAACAATCATAACAAAATCTAGTCGAGATACCAAATTGTTCATGAGGAATTCTGATTAAGCTACCTCCTGGCTTCTTAATCTTCTGGATAATCCTTTATACAATCAATGAGTTTCTTCATCCCTCACTTTTCAGTCAGTTTTTTCGTAAATTTGTTACTGTCTGAGTTGAGTTGCGACACTCCAAATTGTACAAAGTTTCATTTAGATATCCGAAGAAGCCATAGAGGAAATGAAGAAATCGAAAGAAGTGATCGACTGGGCAACGATACGGAGAGAAGAAAAACGTATCAAACACGACGTGATGGCCCATACTTTTGCGTTTGGAAAGGTTACCTGCCATTTTATGCTTCTATTTTAACAGGTAGAGCGTAACTGTGTCTAGCACGGCTGCGCGTGGGATGCGCGAGTATTCCAGTAACAGCACGGTCGTAGGGTCCCATATACGGGGTATCCGGGCGGTCTCGTTATGTTAACACACATATTTGAGTGCGGATGAGCAGAAAATTCGTCACTTTTAATCTGTTTTCTTTGAAAACAATCCCTCAGTTAGCACAGCCGTAACAAAAGAATTAAAAGTAGTACTGCGCATTTTCTAATACACTCGAAATTTCAGCATTTATTGAGATGCTTGAACAAATTCGCCTTGTTTTTCCAGTAGAATGTTTAAGTTATAGATAAGGGATTATGAAAAATGTGAGCTTAAGCGGTCCCGGTCATTGGTTTTTCCGAACGTTTTTAACCCTGTTGGTTGACTGTTTTCAACAGATTTCAAAAAATTTGATTTGTCAACAGACTGGCCAAGTTATAACAATGCGGAAGTTGAAGGAAAGAATTTTCGTAGGGCCATAAAATGACGGTTTCTGACGGAGTGAAGACGTGCAAATGTTTGAGGATCGTATATATACATATACATATATGTACTACCTCTTGTCATATTGAGGATGTTATTACAGATGTGCCCAAAAGCGAAAGGGATAATCCATCTGGGAGCGACATCTTGTTTTGTGCAGGACAACGCCGATTTGATTGTTCAGCGTCAAGCCATCGATTACATCCTTAAAAGGTACTTGTTTTTTACCAAAACTTTTTTACTGTGGTTCTTACCGCATTTGTTCTGCAGTCGCACTTGGTTCTCTCTGTTTAAAAGCCACTCCATTCATTTCTTACACGAAAATAGAGACCGAAATTACGCAGATTACCTGCTCCAGTACAAATATACGAAATTTTTTTTCCCAATATGCCCTAACCTGCACACAGTAGAGCTT